CACACACACACACACACACACACACACACACACACATTGCTATTCCTTTTTTGAAGAAACAGTGAGGCAAACAGATGTCTCCAACCACAGGTGTCAAACTCTACAGCCTGCCGGCGGGATCCGACCAGTTACACAACAGACAACAGGCCCGTGAGAGAATTAAGTCTAATCTAGACGTGTTGAAATCAGACGCTCGTCAAAATAATGAAATCGAAGAAACACATTTTTCTGTCCGTTTCGCAATTTTTATCGAATTTTTTTTTTGTCTCAACACCTTTAACGTACCATTTAAAACACGTTTCTGTGTAGAGTTTATTGCAAATGTTGATTTAAAGCTCAAAAATGTAAATTTGCAGATTCCACTAAGGACTATAAAGCTTTGGAAGTCACCAAACTTTGGTGGCCATTTTTTCGCTAATTGTACGTCCGAAACCAGGCGACCCTCACCTCCTTCTATCGCAAATATCTCAACTTTCATTCATGATAGATCTAGATGAGTATTTATTTTTTTCACCGAAAGCAAAATAAATGAACAAACTTTAAAATGATTACCATAATAATTCCATGGTCCAAAAATTGACGAGCGCCTGATTCCACCACGTCGTGACACAAATAATCCATCCTGAGAAAGCCCATTACACAGTACAGAACCTCACCCCCTTTATTCCGTACATAAACGTCCTTGTTGCCAAGAAAAAATGACAAACATCATGCTCTGACAAACTGGCACAAAGAGCAAAAATGATGATTTGTTTTGATTCACATCATTATCATTGCTGCATTTTAACCTTTTTTACGTTTCCCTTTTCATGATTTATCCAGTTTGGCTTTCAAAGTTGAGTGTAATTTTTTAGTTTACCCCCACCCACCCCCATCCTCACCCATCCCTGTGTAAATCTGACAGTTTTGTATTCTCATTCACTTTCCTTGGTGTAAAGAAGAACAGAACTGAGGTTTCATCCTCATCCTCCTCCTACTCCTCAGGACAGTCGGAGCCTTTCTTCTCTTTCTCTTCTTCCTTTTCGTTCTCCTTTATTACCGAACACCACATCCTCCACATCTCCCCCTCCTTCTCCTCCTCAGTAAACTCAAGGCCCTCCTGCTCCTCTTTGATTCCTTCTTCACATGAACACGTCGTGTCCTGCACAAATAAGTAAAGCGAAGTTGACATTATGCAGTCATCAATGGACGGATACAAACCACATGCAATGCGTCCAATGCCGTGTTACTCTGCTAAAGGAAGAATTCTTCATCGCCTTTGTTATTGTTATTGCTGTAGCTATTGCTGTTGTTGTTGTTGTTGTTGTTGTCGCCGCGTTGTCCGGCCGGCAGATGGAGGTTCCTGTGTGAGTAGAGAGCCAACACGATGATGGGCACACACACGACCAGGATGCAGACGAAGATGACACCGATGATGACGTCATGGTTGTTGCCTGTTGAGGCGGGGGGGGGGGGGGGGGATAACGTTCAGAAACAGGTGTACAGGATTTTTTTTAGTACAGGTTTTACGGCGCTCGCAACTGCATAAAGTCATATGTGCGCCAGAAGATTAGAGGTGTTACAAGATAGCAACAATAAAAAAAAAGAAGGGGAGATAAGGAAGATAGATCTTTTCATAGGAGAGAAGAAGCAAACCCCACCAGAGCACCCCCCAACCACCCACTGTGTACGGGATAAGATCATGCAAGATCAGAGAAGATGTACGATAAAATGAGATAAGACCAGATGAATTGATGAGATAACATGACATAAGATGAGATGACCTAATATGACATAATTAGTTTAGATAAAAAGATATAAGATGACATATTGAGATATCAGATAAAATAAGAAGAGAAGAGATCTCTATAAGATGAGATAAGATGAGATAAGAAGAGATAAGATAAGATAAGACAAGGGCTCAAAAGAAAAATGGGTGTTATCCCAAACTGAAAATCGTGAGGGTACATAGTATATCATGTACGTATGTATCATTTTTTTCAAAGCTTGTAGTAGTTTTAGACTGGTTACAATTGCCTCACTTCTGTTTGGCTGGGAGTGTGTTGTTGTTGTTGTCAGTTGAATGGGGCGTCAAAACAGTAGCAAGCTACCAACAGTTGAACAGAAATGCAATAAAGAGTCTGCAAATTCACAACACTGACAACAACACCTGTTTCTTCTTTTGTTGTCCTGATGCTGGTACACTGACCTGGTGCTTAATCTCCCCCCTCCCTCTCTCTCTCTCTCTCTCTCTCTCTCTCTC